AAAAGCAGAAGCTTTACTATGCTCTTATCTTTGTTATGATTATTTAGCTCCCTGAAGGGCCCCTGATGCTGTCTGTCTCCCTGCATCTCATTCGCTTCCTTGAGAGTTGAGGGGAGCCTAGTAAGTGGCGAGTTCTGGCTTACTGACAAGTCCCAATGCCAATACAGTCTTGCAGAAATATCTGAGAATCTGAAAGTCTGGATTCAAGTTCAAATTCATCACTTACTAGCTGTACATACTTGAACAAGCCACTCATCTCTCCAACACTCCCAGGGAGTTAAGGTGTTAATGGAGCCTCTTATTTTCTTTCATGGAATTATTGTGATCCTTCACAGAATGACAAAGTGATTTTAAGTCACTAAAACATGATATCACTTAATATCATTGTGGCAGACTTGCTGATGTTATAAAATTTACTATTAATAATAATAGGGCTCAGGCCATGATAATGAGATCATAAATAATACTTTGTTAGAATGAGTTAATTTTATTAACAAGCCAGTTTTGCAAAGGCTTAATAGCAAATAGAACTTTTCTTTCATTTAAAAAAACCTGACTACTTTTTAAAATCCAATTGCTTTTCCCTTTCAGCATGTTAATGTAAAACTCTCTCCAAATTTAAAGTTCTGAAATCTCCCCTGGTGACTCAGATGGTAAAGAATCTGCCTGCAAGGCAGGAGACCCAGGTTCCATCCCTGGGTCAATCAGATCCCCTGGAGAAGGGACTGACTACCCACTCCAGTATTCTTGATGGAAAAATCTCATGGACAGAGGAGCCTGGTGGGCTACAGTCCACAGGGTCACAAAGAGTCCAACATGACTGAGTGACTAACACTCACAAAAGCAACATGTCTTGCAAAGGGCTCTCTGCCTCTCTTGCCTCATGGGTTTGAGATCAGGAGAGCAGATCCTGGAGAGTTTGCTTCTCTCTTTAATAAACACAGAAATCCATTAGAGAGTACAATGAAGTGTGATTCTTAAACTGCAGTTCAGGAGAAAACTGAACAACTCAGATTCTGAAGCCAGACCGCTGGTGTTCAAGTCCACTCTAGTTTCATGACTACATAATCTACTTCTCTGTACCCCATCTATAAAATTGGAATAATAATAATAGTCCCTTTATCGTAGGCTTGTTTTGAGACCTACATGAGTTAACACAAGTAAAGTGCTTAGAACTCTCCTTTGTTGTTGTTGATCAGTCGTTCAGTCGTGTTTGACTCTTTGCGACCCCATGGACTGCAGCACGCCAGGCTTCCCTGTCCTTCACTAGCTCCCAGGGTTTGCTCAAACTCACATCCATTGAGCTTCTGATACCATCCAACCATCTCATCCTCTGCCCCCCTCTTCTCCTCCTGCCTTCAATCTTTCCCAGCATCAGGGTCTTTCCCAATGGGTTGGCTCTTCACATCAGGTGGCCAAAGTATTGGAGCTTCAGCTTCAGCACCAGTCCTTCCAATGGACACTCAGGATTGATTTCTTTTAAGATTAACTGGTTTGATCTCCTTACTGTCCAAGGATTCTCAAGAGTCTTCTCCAGCACCACAGTTCGAAAGCAACTGTCCTTGGTCCATAATAACTGTCACTAAGTGTTAGTTACCATCATCATCATCACCTTCAAAATAGACATCTAAGTTTCTCAGATACAGAACAGGGCTTCTTCTTGTGCAGGATTTGCAGTGATCTCTGTGCTCGTAGGTGGTGTTTTTCTGCCTTTGTATCTCTATCCCCAACTGTGCTGGTAAACCAGTTCTCTAAAAATAAAAGCCCTGATCTGCAGTCTTTGCTGATTTCTGTGGTGTAACTATTCCTTGCCTGGGTGGCATCAGGCTGGCATCAGTGATTTAATAACTGTCTGCAAACTTCCTGAACACTGAAAGTCAGTACCCCCAACCTTAGATGAGCCAGCTCCAGCGCATCACTGCTGATGGCTTAGACACGCAGTGGCAGTGAGTAGGTTAACCAGTCAGGCTGGTGGTGGCATCAAGTAGTGCTAAAAAAAAAAAAATAAAAGCAGGAGGAAATGTGTGGGAGTACAACGGTGCCCTGGAGGGCGGGCCTCACCTTAAATTCTGATTGCCCAAGGTCAGAGACGTCAAATCAAAGAAATCAAACCCAGGACCCTCCTTAGAATCCAGTTTCCATGATAGTGAGTCAAATGCCCCTTATTTTCAGACAGTCCCTCCTTGCCCCTCCCTCACCCCCGCTTACTTCTGCTATAGTTTGAGAAACAGCCAAAAGCTTGTCAAATAGGAGCTGGAGAGGAGGCGTCTTACCTGGGCTGACCCCCCTTGCCTTAGATTCCCCTCCTGACCGCCCTCCCCATCCTCATCATCGCTGTGCTTTGCAGATTCCTGGTTCTCCCGCCCCTCCCTTTAGTCTAAAAAGGAACTGAGTTCCTTCTCACAAGTCGCTCTCCCTCTAAACGGCATGCCACCCTCACCAAAGACTAGCCAGGTGACATAAAGAAGCATTTTTTCCCCAGTTACAGCTGCTTTCAACAATCCCCACTTCCATTTAGGTGAACAATTTCCCAAACTGGAAAAAAAAATTACCCCAAGTCAGCAGCATAATTTGAAGCTAGCATCCTGTCCACAGACTTCAGGCTGGCTCTTTTTGGACACAGCTTGCATCAACAGTGGTCTTTCTTTATAAATTAGTTCTCTGATGTTCCACTGGTGTTGCATTCAAGAGTCTCGTGTCTCTCTGAGCTTCAATCCCTGGTTGTCTGTGATTCTTAGTGCCAGGGAGGCTGGGGCTACACAGGCTCCTTCTTCTGTGAATGTGAAGATGTCTCTCCTGCCTCTTCCACTTGCCTCACAAAGATGTCTTTCTCCAAATCTGTGAGCACCCACACACAGTGATGATGTCCTCCTGTACATGAGAGTTCTCTGGAGTGTCAAGTCAGTACAGAGAGCATACACTATTTCAGTCTACAGATTTTTAATTATCTTACACCTGCAGAGATCAGTCTACAATATCCCAGTATCAATCACTGACCATTGGGGGAAGCAGAGATTAACCCAAGAGTCCTTCTAATAACAGGGAGGATGGTTATTTGTGGACTACAGTAAATATGATGTGCTCATTGCATTCTGAGATCTACACACTTCTTCTACTACTGCCCAATCACCCATGTGTTAGAAACCAGGTCTTCACCCTCCCTCTGAACAGGGGATAAGGGTCATTAATGTGGAAATTAACCCACCCAAAGATACTGATACAGTATCATAGTTGACAAGCCCCACTGATGTTCTTAGAGCTTCCTGTGAGATTTCTAGTTTTCTTCCTCCCCATTCTTCAATATGAACTGATAAGCCACGATTATCAGACAAGGAAGGAAATCCTCTCATTCAGAAGATAGGGACTGTCTTAAGGTTCCCCAGAGAAACAGAAACTATAGGATAAATGAATGGATAGATAGATGATTGATGGATAGATTATAGACAGGTATGGAGGGAGAGAAACAGAGAGAAGGAGACTGAGTGATTTTTAAGAAATTTGCTCATAGGATTATGGGACTGGCAAGTCTGAAATTTATCGGGCAGGACAGCAGGCTAGAAATTCATGAAAAGTTTATTTTCAGTCTTTGATCTGAAATCTCAGAGCTGGAAATTCAGCCAAGATTTCTTAAGTTGCTTCGGTCATGTCTGACTCTTTGCGACCCTATAGACTGCAGCCCACCAGGCTCCTCTGTCCATGGGATTGTCCAGGCAAGAATACTGGAGTGGGTTGCTATGCTCTCCTCCAGGGGATCTTCACCACCCTGAAGCCAAATCCACATCTCATTATGTTTTCTGCATTGGCAGGTGGTTCTTTACCACTAGTGCCACCTGGGAAGCCCAATCTGTCCTACTTAAAGCCAACTCATTGTAAATATTAATCACATCCACAGATACCTTCAAAGCCATATCCAGACTAGTGTTTGATCAGTAACTGGGCACTGGAGCTTAGTCAACTGAACATAGGAAGTCTGCCTTCACAGAGACCAAACCACAGAAACAGATAGAAGCAACTTGGAAGAAACTATACAGGGAGAGTGCTGCATTAACATATTATTAATATCTTTAGAGAAATAAGAGAAGATATTACAACCACAAAACAGGAGCCAGATGTTATGTGTTTTAGGAAAATAAAAGCTCAGCAAACAAAGTACGAGCCTTTGGAAAAATTCAGCATATATAAAAATGTCAATAAAAGTTTCAAAAGATGATAAACTCAGAAAGTAAGGCAAAACCCCACAGAGGTGTAATATAAGAGAGAAAAATAAAATTAAAGAAAATCCAAATGACCTGACATCCAAACCATAAAACTTCCATAAAGATAGAATGGAGAAAATGAAGGAGAGGAAATCATCAATGAGATAAAGAAAACTTCCCAAAGTTGTTGCCATTATAGCTCCTGAGAACCCACTAAGTGCCCAGGACCGGGTAAAGTAAACCCACGTGAAAGCACGCCTCACTGTGAAAGCTCAGAGGACTGGGAGCAAGAGAGGGCCTCCCTCCACACTGTCACGAGAGGAGAAGAGACCAGGTCACACACAACCTTCAGGAACCAAGATGACTCTGGATTTCTCAGAAGTAACACAGAGGGAATTGCTTAGAATGCCATACATAACTTAATTATCCAAAAAAAAAGTGTAATGATGGAGTAAAAATATGTTCAGTGGTGTGAGGTCTCACTTGACCTCATGCAAACCCCTTCTCAGGAAGCTGCGGTGGAAGAGATCTAATGACATGAGCACGGTACCCAGATAAACTCCGACGCAGAGACATCCTGGTGGGGAAAGCATCTTTCTTCGCATCCTGATCTCTGTTCCTGGGATCTGTTCCCTGGGTGTCTTTTTACCATTCTTACTATCATTCATGTCTGTGGTTAATTAGATGAATATTTGAGGGCTAGCACGAGCTACAAACCATTACGTGGCATTTTTGTGGCAAGATGTGTTCCAAGTTCAAAATAACCAATCTGCTAATGGTCTTTGGAATTTGGACCCTGTGCAGAGGACTCAGGAGGCCACGTTTCGGCAGAGTCTGTGCACGCTGAGCGGCAGCAGCATCTGTGGCTCACGAGCTCCTCTGTTTCTCCAGGTTATCAGTGTACTTGTCTCTCCCAATTCACCGGGAGAAACTGTGAGTCTGAGATCACAGCCTGCTTCCCAAACCCCTGCCGGAATGGAGGCTCCTGCGACCCCATAGGAAACACTTTCATCTGCAATTGCAAAGCTGGGCTCACTGGAGTCACGTAAGTGCGATTGTGCAGTTAGTCTTTTTTTACATTGCCTCTTCTTGCTAAGAAAACAAAACTAACTGGGGTAAAATATCCACTAATGATAGGATGGGCAAAGGGTTAATACCTATACATGAAGAATGCTTACCAGTGACTAAAATGTCATCAGGGATTATCTCTGTGGAGTGGGGTTATGGGTAAATTACATTTTTACTTTATTCCTTTCTATATTTTCAAAAAGTTATATAATTACTATGTGTTATATAATCTGGAAAACAGTTCTTTAAAAGAAAGTCATCTATGACCCTAATATTTCCAGTATAATTCTGAGACAGATATGCTATGCATTTCCCCAGAAATCATCAACTGGACTCTACTGCCTAGGGTTTTATGATCATCCTGAGAAACTAAAGACTTACCTTTCCTTTGAAAATCTTTTATTCCCCCAAGAATGAGGGAAATTAAAGGGTTAGCCAAATGGAAAGGGAATGTTTTCAGTTCTGAGTAAAACACCACTTTAACCATCCTTGATGGTTTTAGAAGTATNATTACCCTTGCTTCCCAGAGAGACCAAAAATTACTGTATTCATTAGAGGGAAATGTCAGAATCAAAAACTTTCTCCTCCTGGGAAACTGTGTATAGGGTGTCTAGGATCACAGCTCTTTATCTGCAATTCTACAATCCCCAAAGCTCTAAGAAATAAAAAGATTGAGAATATAATCGTGGCAAACATTTGCTGGCAAAACCAAGCAAATCATGCCGAGGCTATTCTAGTCTTTATTTCCCTCATTTAGTGTGACTATCCATATGTTTCACTGTAGAAACACTGGTATATTTGGTGATAGGTCCTATGCCAGTTTGTAGGATGGGGTGGGTATTTTACATAATATGAAAGACACGTAGTGTATGTCATTTCTAAAATTGCAAAATTTTGCATTCTGAGATCCATCTGGCCCCAAGCATTTGAAGACCAGTATGTCTCCAACAGCATCTCTGGCTTCCTTTTCCATGCCGTCTCTTCTCTCCCAGGACAGCCCTCTCCTCCCCACCCAGCCAGGGAGGTTCGGAGTACGAGGGGGATGGCGCTGGCTGGTTGGTAGGAAGGCCTTCACATGATGGGGATGGGGTCCTGGGCGGGCACATGAAGCCCATGCATCTCCCATGTACCCTGCATCACGTCATTTCTGTCTTGCTTCAGGGGCCTCTCCAGGGGCTTCCTGCCTTTCTGAAAGATGTCCGCGTTAAGAGCGGACGCCTGCCGGCCCGCTGTTTCAGGGGGGCTTTTGTCTTCTGTCGCAAAGGTGTGAGGAGGACGTCAACGAGTGCGAGCGGGAGGAGTGTGAGAACGGCGGCGCCTGCGTCAACGTGTTCGGGTCCTTCGTGTGCAACTGCACGCCGGGCTACGTGGGCCAGTACTGCGGGCTGCGGCCGGTGGTGGTGCCCAACATCCAGGCCGGGCACGCCTACGTGGGCAGGGAGGAGCTGATCGGCATCGCCGCGGTGCTCCTGGTCATCGTCGCCCTCATCGTCCTCTTCGTCGTCTTCCGCAAGAAGGTCTTCCGCAAGAGCTACTCCCGCAACAACATCACGCTGGTGCAGGACCCCGCCACGGCCGCCCTGCTCCGCAAGAGCAACGGCGTGCCCTTCCGGAGCCTGCGCGCCGGGGACGGCCGCCACGCGTACCAGGAGGCCGGGCCCCCGCAGGTGCCCGTGCGCCCCATGGCCTACACCCCGTGCTTCCAGGGCGACTCCAGGAGCAACCTGGACAAGATCGGGGACGGGCTGGGCGGCGAGCCCCAGGAGATGACCACCTTCCACCCCGAGTCCCCGCGCATCCTGACGGCCCGGCGGGGCGTGGTGGTGTGCAGCGTGGCCCCCAACCTGCCCGCCGTGTCCCCCTGCCGCTCCGACTGCGACTCCATCCGCAAGAACGGCTGGGACGCGGGCACCGAGAGTGAGTCCACAGGAGGAGTTCAGCAGCATTGCTTCCACTAGTGTTTAGCGGATCTTTGGGAAGGGAGAGCGACCCCAGAGGCACAGAGCTCTCCTTAGGACAGGCCCTGACACTGAAGGTTCACACCAGCTCTGCAATCTTGCCCTGGTTCTTATCCCCATTTACTGACGGGGAAAAGGAGGCTTAGAGAACATACAAGGTGCCCACCATTGCAGTTTGTAAGAGGCTGTTGGTATTCCAACCCAGGGCTGCCGGCCTCTAAAACCCATGCTCTTTTCATAACAACATACTCTTAGCAGTAAACCAAGCAGCGTAGCCACATATGCCATATACAGGAAGTGTGCTCTAGAAGGTCAGAGGAGAGTATTTCCAGTCTTAGGGCGAAGACTTGAGAGAAGCAGAGGGACATTGGAGCTGGACCATGGTGGATTAAAAGTCCAGGAAAAGAAGGGTGTTCCACATAGAAGCACAAATTCAGAAGACCAGGTCCTTCTGTTTGGCTGGAACGCAGGGTCAAGGAGACAAGCAGGAAATGTGGTCGAGGCCACATGCTAGTGTTTCCCTCTCCTCTTGGCCTCCTGGAGCAGAATTGCAGGCGAAAGGAAGACCCACAAGTGCAAAGGCCCTGGGGTGGGAAAGGCTTTAGTATATTGAAGAACATAGGCAAGGTCAATGTAGTTGGAGCTTGGTGAGCAACACTAATGCAGAATTTTAAGCAGGAAAGTAGCGCAATATAATTTCCACTTTTAAAAGATGGTTCAGACCAATCCATGGAAAAGAGACTAAGCAGGAAGTAAGCAAGAAGGAAGCAGTTAATTGGCCTCTACAAACATCTAAGTGGGAGGTGGTGATTGTTCTCCCTGCTCTAGTATCAGTCAGGCAAGCTCTGTTGTATCCTGTGACTTTTCATCAGGCCCAGTGGCTTTATATTCAAGAAGCAATAACACCCTGGGTGTCTGGAGTTTCCAAAGGCTGAGGATACAGTACCCTGATATATGTTGGAGCAGAAGCAGGGGTGGGGGGGGGGGGCTGCTTTTAAACGAAGCTAGAAAACACCTGTAGTCAGGAGGTTAATGGTTCCTCCATGGAGGAAGGGGGCATACCTCCTGGGGTCTTTAACCATGAGTAAGATTTGGGAGGAAACTATCTGAGAGGGCCTTCTAGAAATAGGAAGCAGCTCAGTGTAGGGGACACAGAAGGGGTTTCCTGAGGGGTGTCTAGCTCTGTTGTTTAGGAGGAAGGCAAGGCTAGTAGTAAAATTTGGATGCCAACTACAGTCAAGATGATCGAATCTCTGAGAGTGTGAGCTCACCAAGGGAGCAGGAGCAGAGAATATGCTCAATCTGGGCCACTTGCAAATGCCTGCATGTGGGAGGTAGGCAGGGGCTAGGGCCAGGAAGGGAAACACACACGGGCCACAAAGAGAGAGCCGGAAAAGCGGAAAGGGCAGCGAGCAGAAGTTAAGGGTATCAGTAAGGTCAGCAGGGTTCAGTGCCATAAAACCATCCAGGAGGATACAGTCTTACACAGAAAAAAATAGATATACTACGCTTACCACCTGAAAGTTTCTTAGTGATCTCAAGAATGTTTCAGTGAATCTTCAAGACAGAGTCTAGTGTGCAAGGGTTAAGGAAGAAGAGATTTGGTGAGAAAACAGAGGCAGCAAATGGTCATGAAAAGCCTCCACTGCTGTGTGCTGAATCGTTCCCTTAAATCCCACGCTGCCCCACATGGGCACCAGTTGGAGGAGGGGGGCGTGAAATAACTTGCCTCCATTTGATTCCTGGGTCGGGAAGATCCTCTGGAGAAGGGATAGGTATCCACTCCAGTATTCTTGGCTTCCCTGGTGTCTCAGCTGGTAAAGAATTTGCCTGCAATGCGGGAGACCTAGGTTCAATTCCTGGGTTGGAAAGATCCCCTGGAGAAGGGAAAGGCTACCCACTGCAGTATTCTGGCCTGGAGAATTCCACGGACTGTATAGTCCATGGGGTTGCAAAGAGTCAGACATGACTGAGCAACTTTCACTTCACTTCACGAGCAGTAACTAGGAAAGGGAGGGATAGGATTCGAACCTGGTGCATCAGGTGCTTTTACCAAGACTACTCCTGGAACTTTTACAGGGAGGAGGAAGAGGCGCAGGAGAGGGAGGGTCTGCTGATGATGGCAGAGAGCCTCTACCCATGCCATTCTAGTGTGCCCCCATGGCTGAGTCCACCGTTAAGGAGACACACTTATACTTCAAGTAGTGGCCCTTGGGAGAAGGCAATGTCACCCCACTCCAGTACTCTTGCCTGGAGAACCCCATGGATGGAGGAGCCTGGTAGGCTGCAGTCCATGGGGTTGCTAAGAGTCAGACAGGACTGAGCCACTTCACTTTCACTTTTCACTTCCATGCATTGGAGAAGGAAATGGCAACCCACTCCAGTGTTCTTGCCTGGAGAATCCCAGGGACGGCGGAGCCTGGGGGGCTGCCATCTGTGGGGTCACACAGAGTCGGACACGACTGAAGCAACTTAGCAGCAGCAGCAGCAGCGGTCACCCTTGGATTTTACCCATAAATATATTGCCTCTCAAATTATCTGTAGAGTTAGACTTCACTGCAGCCTTGCTAATACTCTGGTTAATGGAAAGCCTCCTTTTATTTAGCAATGAAAAGCGGGGAGCTTAAATAAATGGAGGAGTGCAGAGAGGAGTTTCTGCCCAGCACTGTGTTCACCAGGGCGGGTCACCTGGCATCCCCTCCCTCCCGACAGCTGTGTTCACAGCTGAGCCTGGTGCCCACTTTGTGCTTTTCCAAGGCACGTCTTGTTTTCTGTGGCGTGGCTGCTGACAGGTGAGTTTCTCCCTGGCGTCTCTCTCCACTTAGATCCACTGTTTATCAACTGATTGCTTTGCTGTGGCTCCAGCATCTGGTGGCAGAGGCCACACCGCAGTGCCCGCTCCCACCACCACCCCGGGTGGAAGAAACGGTGACCTCTCTAGTCAAGGAGAAGCACAACCATTCCTGAAGCACGAGGCCCCCTCTCTTGGGGCCATCACCCTCCGGAATGATTTGAAGTTTTCCCGCTGATCAGTTCCCTGCCCCTGCTTCAGGATGTGACAGCTTTATTTCCAGAATCCACCTCAGGCCAAAACTCGCACAGCCCTCCAAAGTATTGTTGAGTTTTTATGGAATACATTTCCTCCTTTGTTAAGCAAGGCAGCGCGAGCTGGCGAGACAGTCTCTGGGTGACTGATTCATTTTTCACTTGACAACTTGGAGACACGGGTTGTTTCCCATTGCTTCCTTAGTCCACCAAATAGGAGGGTCACCCTGTAGTGTGTGTGGCTGTGTGGTGTCTGTTGGGGTTGTGTGCAGGCTGCCTTTGTGCGGCAAAGAAAGGGGAAGCGTCTGGCTAACAGCACGTCCACACCACCGACTGACTGCCCTCCTGCCAGAGTGCTGCGTGCTGTCACTCCCAAAAAGTGGTGTGACGCTGCCCTCTAGAAGGCCACACGGAAAACTTCACTCACTCCCCCGAGAGGAAGTTTGGAGACCTGTAATGATATTCTTGCCTATAAAATATTTATACCCCTATTTTAAAAATAATCTCACTTAACCTGGTGTTGACACCACGTCGGTCCATGCAAATGATTTAAATTAACTCTGAATGGCAAAACCCAGCCCACTCCATCCTCCCTTGACTCCTCACTCAGTCGCTCCCCTTTGAAGACAGAACAGCACTTTCAGCTGTCAGCTATTTGGAAGCTCATTTGCCACGGGTTAAGGGTTTCAAATCCATAATGTAAATCTCTTGATTGACAGACCTTTGCCCCCGATGGCACAATCAATTTTCTTCTGTGTGGCTAAATTCTTTTCTCTAAGCAGATGAAAGTGCCCCAAGAAGTGAACTCTGGCAGGGGACGGGACTGGAAATATGCACAAGGTAACCAGTGTCATTTCTGCTTTCTCTCTGGCTGTCCGTGAAGACAAAGGGGTTGATGACCCGGGAGAAGTGACCTGCTTTGCAGGCAGTAATAAAGGCAGCAACTCGGAAGTGCAGTCCCTGAGTTCCTTCCAGTCGGATTCGGGCGATGACAATGGTAAGAAGTCCCGGGATTTGTTTCCCCCATGGACTGTGTTTCCTGTGCTGGCAGCTGCTGGCTGAGGAGAGGGTGATGGGACCTGTTTCGTTTCCTGACCTGATCTTGGGCTTCTGCCCATGCTCACAGCTTTTTGGTGAACTCCACTGTTGGGTGTTTTCACAGAAAGAGCAAAGCTCCCATTGAGCTGCCCCAACTGTGAGCAGGTGCAGAAGGAGACAAGGTTCCCCCAGACCTCCAGTGATGCATCCTCTTTGACCTTATTCCAAAGAATACTCTCTAGCAAACTGTGATTTATTTCCTTTTTTAACTCATGATGATGTCTTCACTCTTCACTCTACATCCAACCTCCCCATCATTAGAAATTAGTTCAGAGGCAAGACCTCCTTCCAGTAGAATCTGCTTCCCAGAGAGGTGGTATCTTCATTCAGTTGAGAACCCCTTATAATCGCATGGGGTCATGAGCTTTTGGAGACTCCAGTTGACATGATACCTCAGCTCCTTTGAGAAATGCACATGCACCCAAAATGGTACATCCAGTTCCATGTGGCTCATGAACCCCACTGACTCCAAAGCTGCTGCCTCCACTGCTTATGAACCCCTGTTTATGGAGAGGGCATTAATTCTGGACTCAATCTTCTGACCTTGAGGAACCAGGCTTGGAGATTGGGTTGATCTCCCCCAGGAAGGGAAGGGGAGCAGAAATGGTCATAAAACAGTGAGAATTTACCACATGGTGGTGAACCAAGAATAATTTCCAATAGTCATCAATAGACAGGCAACCTTATCTTAGTCTATACCTTATGCCATTTTCCAGTTTGTCAACAATTGATAAAAATTGAATATGTATTAATTTATGTCATCATTCAACCCTAAACCCTTGCGGAGTTTCTCTTGAGCACTGACTCCTACACTGGGCATTCTGTACCATGAAGTACAAAATGAAAACAACATAGTCTTTGCCACCCCCCCACTCCCACCCCACAGGTAGAGATAGAAATGGGGGAGCCCCAAGACCGTAACGTCAATCACAGAAGTAAAACAGTGTGCTTTCCCCATCACTACCCCCAATCCCTCCCACTTCCTTCCCAAATCCCTGGCCCTCCTGAGAGGTGCAGAAACCATTGGGCAACAAGCCACGTTGACAGCAGACTTCTTCCAAGCTATCTCAGAAGGTCAGAGGCAAGTCTCCAGATCTGTTTGCCTTGGTGTTTACCCCCCTTCTTCAGCCCTAACCAGAAGAAGAGCTGTCTCTGGTTTGTGTTTTATCTAGAAGGACCCAAGAATGTAGTGTTTCCATGCTCCAGACAGCAACCCAGTGATGAGGTCTGGTTGACTACTTTCACAGTTTCTGCTTCATGACATACTTGGGCTTTCATGCTTAGCATTCTAGGCTGGTCCATTCTAGCAAGCTTCCTAAAGTGTTAGGAATTTTCTACCAATTAGTTTTTTCCCCCGCCTTCCTGGTTATTAAAATAAGAAAAGAAGAAAAAAAAAGGAAAAGAAAACTGGAAAAAAAAAAAAAAAAATAAAAAAAAATTCAACAAAAAATAAAAATTTTTTTAAGTAAATTAAGATTTTTAGTTGGAGTTTCAATATCAAACTCTCAAAAGTTAATAGAATGAATATACTGAAAAGTAAAAGGATACAGTGGGTCTGAGGGCTTCCTTGGTAGCTAGGATGGTAAAGAATCTGCCTGCAGTGAAGGAGACCTGGGTTGGATCCCTAGGTTGGGAAGATCCCCTGGAGTAGGAGACGGCAACCCACTCCAGTAATCCTTGCCTGGAGTATTCCATGAACAGAGGAGCCTGGAGCCTACAGTCCACAGGGTCTCAAACAGTCAAACACAACTGAGCAACTAACACACATGTACAAAGTAGACTGAAAAGCACCATGAACCAATTCAACACAATTAAGATTTACACAGTTTTCACACAATAGTAGGATACAAATTCTATTCAAGTTCCCATGGACTATAAACTAGGAGACACTGGAATATATCCAGGGACATTAAACAAGGTACAAAAATTTGATGGTCTAAAGTTATTAAAATCATACAGAGTCTGTTCTCTTAATCACTGTGGAATTATTAAGGATACAGTGGGTCTGAGGGCTTCCTTGGTAGCTAGGATGGTAAAGAATCTGCCTGCAGTGAAGGAGACCTGGGTTGGATCCCTAGGTTGGGAAGATCCCCTGGAGTAGGAGACGGCAACCCACTCCAGTAATCCTTGCCTGGAGTATTCCATGAACAGAGGAGCCTGGAGCCTACAGTCCACAGGGTCTCAAACAGTCAAACACAACTGAGCAACTAACACACACGTACAAAGTAGACTGAAAAGCACCATGAACCAATTCAACACAATTAAGATTTACACAGTTTTCACACAATAGTAGGATACAAATTCTATTCAAGTTCCCATGGACTATAAACTAGGAGACACTGGAATATATCCAGGGACATTAAACAAGGTACAAAAATTTGATGGTCTAAAGGTATTGAAATCATACAGAGTCTGTTCTCTTAATCACTGTGGAATTATGTTGGAAATCAATATCCAAAGATATTTGAAAATAACCCATATATTTTCAAGAGTAACGTGACATTTACCAAAAGAGATGTTTGACTTAGCCTTTTACCGATTGGTTTAAGCCTGATCACCTCTCCAAAAGCTTCTGGTATCAGATGCTAAGGCGACCCAGGTGGGCTCAGAAATCTCCTCCCCATTTTCTGACTGTTTCAGAGGCCAAGCTCCCGTCTACACTTTGCGGGTGGGAGCTGGGCTCGGGTCATCCCAGGCTGCCAGGGGCACCATCTGAGTGTGAGGCCATCAGTCCTGCAAAGGTTATCGTTCATCACTGGCATTTGGCTCAGAGCAGCATGGCTGACCAGCAAGTAATTAGCCCTGGGAAGAGTGAGATCTTCCTCGGAGCCTTGGGAGTTACTAATGAGAAATTAGCATGAGCTTATGAGCCTCTGCCTTCCTAGATTGGTTTCACTGGGCCACAAGGTGTGAATTTTTGACATGGCAATTCCTGCAATCATGCCTTCCAGGAGGACTGGCCCTACATTTGCTGCTGTTTCCCTTCCTCCGAGAATCCCAGGGGATAACAGTGTCCACTGTAGTCCAGTAGATGGACTGTGGGAAACTTTGGGTATTTGCGTGCTGTACCTTTGTTGTTGCTGTGCTGTTGGTAAGAGTGTATGTTCAGAAGACATAACTAACCTGAAACTGTCCTTCTCCTCCCCCCTGTCTTCTTTCCTGGCCACAAGCATCCATAGTGACTGTCATTCAGCTTGTCAACAATGTAGTTGACACTATAGAGAATGAAGGTATTTACTGTTTTCTTCCATAGCATTTCTTTGTGCAATTACCTTTTTAGGAAATACTGCTTCCTTGTTACTTCGAAAAAGGGACGATTTTGTTTTAAGTATAGTTGTACAGTATTATATATGTTTCAGATGTACAACATAGTGATTAATACTTTTTGAAAGTTATACTCCATTTATAGTTATTATAAAATATTGGCTATATTCCCTAGGCTGTATAATACATCCTTGTAGCTTCTTTATTTTATGAACTAAGGGTGATTTTAATCAGCTGGCAACAGTAAAAAGGTGGTTTCAAATGAGACACTGAATGTCTCTCTCTGAACTAGAGTGAATTTTACAATTTTGAAAAAAAAAATCCAGTTCATAATTTTTTCAATATGTGAGATACTCTTTTTACAAAATCCCTTCCCAGAGACGAGTAGCCACTTAGTTGAAATCCAGATTAATACTAAGTTCATTCTTACATTCAACATGTATTGATTGAGCACCTACCATGAGCTGGGGATATTTAAGAAATCATTCAAAGCTACAATATTATGGGGATTGATTTCAATCAAGTAACTTGCATTAGTCATTTAAAACTATTAGGGTCTGCTATAGATTTTTTTTTTTTTTTGTAAATAACAACAGGGAGAAATAGGCATTGTTAAGTCATCTAAAATTGCCTGTTGTACCCTCTTCACATGCCTCGGACTGTCAGTTTCACTTCTCACTTTGTATTTAAACAGTGTCTGTCATGGATCAAGGACAGAACTTCAACCGAGGTGACGCTGCCAAGCCCCCAGCACCAGATGCTCCTTATGCATTAGAAATTTCTGAGTTTGCCCTTACCCTGTCCATCTCCCTCCATCGCTTCTGCGTGTCTTTGACCTGACTTTCGCATGTTCCAGGTGTCTTGTGTGCTGGCACAAGGGGTGAAAGCCTCGCCCACATTTCCCTCCCCAAGTCTCTCCCTGGCCCCAGTCATTCATTCATTTGCACGGCGTATCTCCCGCCCTCCTGCGGCCCACAGGAAGACTGGTGCATCTTCCCTCTTAGAGCATGTTGCCAGCCTGGCTCTGCACTTAGCCTGTGGCTAGAAAGAGGGAGTGGAGGGGAGAGCCTTCTAGAACTGTGTTTCCGCAGCGTGCCCTGCTCACCGAGGCTTATGCCGTGGCTGAGCGGGAGACGCGGCAGCAATCAGGCCTCCTCCTCAGCGCTGCCGCTGCCCGTACCCCCCGGGCGAGAGCACGGCTGGCCCGAGAAGGGCCGTGTAAAAAGCATGGGGCTGCGCCTGGCTTCTTAGCTGGCTCCTGGGCACTGAGAGTTGCATGCCAGGTCCCCTGCCCGCCGCTTTCTGCGCCCCGTGCCCAGCGCCGCCCTGGAGGAAACTAACTGCCCCGGCTTCCCTCTCGCAGCCTACCACTGGGACACGTCCGACTGGATGCCCGGGGCCCGCCTGTCCGACATAGAAGAGGTGCCCACCTACGAGAGCCAGGAGGGCGCGGCGCCGCCGGGCAGCGCGCGCGGGCTGGAGAGCGACTACTACCTGGGGGGCTACGACGTGGACAGCGAGTACCCGCCGCCGCACGACGACGACTTCCTGGGGCAGGACCCGCTGCCGCCGCCGCTGCCCGAGGACTTCGCGGACCAGTACGACGGCCTGCCGCCCGCGCGTTGAACGCGGGCGCGGAGGCCGCGGCGGGCCCCGCAGACGGCGCGGCCGTCCCCTTGCACATCGCCCGGGGCCCCTCGTCCTCCGACGTGTCGGCCGGCTGCGGCTTCGACGACTCCGAAGCGGCCGTGAGTGACTATGAGAGCGTTGGGGAGCTCAGCCTCGCCAGCCTCCACATTCCCTTTCTGGAGACCCAGCAGCAGACCCAGGTGTAGAGGCGGGGAGCAAAAAAGGAAAAGCTCAGAAATTGTTTCTGAGAGGTGACCCATCGCCCGGGCAGCGCGTGTCTGCCTACATGACCCAGAAGGCGCACCGAGTTTTTCCAGGGGAAGCGAGCTCCGCCGTGACGTTAGACGCCCGTCTGTCTGCTTTCTGCAGTCTTGTGCCCTGCCAAGTGTTACAGCGTCGGGCCGGCCCTTGCAGTATTATTAACTGGCAGCAAGCCAAGAGGCTTTGTTGCATGTAATTTTGAGCCAATGGGGGGAAATGAAAATAGTAGTTATGACTGTTGGAAAAGTTAGTCTCTTAGGCAAAAGAAAAGAGGAACGACCATTACTAAATAAGAAAATGGGCTGAAGCCTTTCAAATCAACTTTTTATTTTTTTAAATAAGCTACCCAATTTTCAGCTATAAAGTTAGGTTTGGGTAACATGTTTAGTATGCTCAGTTATTTTTGTTTGTTTGTTTGTGTTAAGCATCTGAAATAATAGAGTTGTATTTTATGATCATTGAGAAAGATATCAATGAAGAGGAATACTTGAGATACCTGGGTTCCACTTTGTAGGTAGAGGGGAAGGTTAACATTGTGCAAACATTGGAAAGAATGTGATTATCTGTCTTTGTGTTTTCCAGTAAATATTCCTGGCTGTAACTACAATTTTAACATTGTGGCAGAAATTGGCCTTTGTTCTAAGAATCAGGAAATAAAGAGACAAAAAAAGGAATATTTTAGTACATTGTTCCCTAGAATGAGAGACATTGAGAGGTTTAAACAGAATTCAAAAATTCAAGGAAAAAAAGAAAATACTTCCAAAGTTTTCAGCTAGATAATCACAGTTCTTGATAATGCAGATAAAAGTTATGTGTTTTAAATTGGTAGCATTATCACTATAGATGCAATTTTGTTTTTTAAAAAAAGGAGAAGAAAGATTAGCTATTGTGTATAAATTATAATAGTGTGTGTGTCTGGGCCTATGTACAGATATGTGCTTGCACTCAGTAAGGCTGCTCTTGAGGAGAAGTGACAGGAAGGTTTTAGGATACAACCTATGTTAAAAAATCCTGCCAGCAAGGCCAACCTTCCAATTTCTCTGATCTTAATATTAGAGAAACACCAAATGCCATATTTTATTCCGATTCAGTTAACTTTATTTTGGTATTGCCGTTTATATTAACTTGAAGCAAAACTGTGCTTTTTTAAGGAAGAAGACAAAACAGTATTTTGTTATAATTTTTCAGAACTAAACTCTTATTTGAAAAAAGTATAAACTTTAGCTACACCCTGCCTTTTGGTTCTCCTCTCTTCTGACATGCGGGCTTTGACCTTGAGTTTCCAAAATTGCCAGGAGAATCATCTGACTGAAAATATAGTAACTCAAAGCTTAAAGTTGATGAGCTGAGTAACTTTACTCTTTTGCTTCAATCAGATCATGGGCATGTGCACAGAGGCCATGGTTAAATAAATGCATATTTGCACTCTCTGCATATGAGCGAATCTCTGTGTCCAGTTTCTGGTGACATATGGCGTTGGTGTGTCCACCATACCGTCCTGAATCTGTGTATCATCCACTCAGACATTTCAGTCATGTTCAATCCACTTCTTTGTAGGAGTCAATGTTTCCAAAAGTTTGTTAAAACTTTGTTAAACAAACAAAAATTCCTTTTCATTCTCAAGCTTCCTGAGTAAACTGTACACTCATACACTTCACAGATTTTTCAGCTTTTCTCCTCTTCCTATCTCTTAGTCAGACCTACTCATGGAAACATTATCTGCACCGTGGTCTTGAAATAAATGAATTTCACTAAGGCTGCTTGGGAGAATGTAGTATTTTTCTTATGTAAGAAACCCATTTGCAAGAATCACAGAGAAAATGACAAACTAATGGTCTAGAATAGAATTGCTGCTACACTTTCTATAATGCAGTGGCATAAAAAACAATCAAAGTAAAACCAACAATTCATTTCTTGCCCCAGGAAATATTAGAAGGAGATTAATGCCGATGAGTCACTCCTGCTTGCACAGCATACCCTCCAGGGAGAGTGCCCTCGGAACCCAGTAATGAAGGAATAAATAGATCCTAATGCTGTTGTGAAGTCACCCAAGAAAATTGTGCCCACTCTTGGCTCTGACCTGTATAAAATACCTCTTTCTTCAGGATATCTTCCCCTGGTTTTCTTCAGAGTAGCTCTGCAGCTAAATGTATCCCAGACAAGCGTGTGTTATGTTTTGATCAATTACCTTTAAACACATGATATCTTTTCACTTTCTGGATAATTAGCTTTTCCTGTAGATTCTGAAATGGTTTGCAGCCAGGCCAAGATGGAACTAGGTGGGGTGACCAATGATTCAAGAGCTGGAAGGGTGCTTAAGATCTGCTTATCTAATCCCCTTATTTTTATAAAAGAGGAAACATACCCAGAGAGGGGAAGGGACTCACCCAAGCTCTCACAGGAACTTAAGTAGCTGAACAAGAACTAGAGCTCATCCGTTTGACCAGTATTGTTTCTATTACTATTATTCACAACTAACCTGCCTGGGGCATGGTGTCTGCCTGCTTCTGCTGGAGCTTTTGATTTCACCCCATTCCTGCTTTGGAATATACTAGAAGAGAGAACTCATGGAGAGTATTTCTCTGGAAGCCTCATGATCTTAGATTTTTTTTTGTAGCCCCCATAGGAAAGGTGCAGTTACAGAATTCATACATTTCTTTGGACATCTATCAAAACTGCTTTCACCAAATGAATGTTTTCTAAAATGAAGATGGAATGATAATTATAAAATGGAACTCAAACTGATCAGTAAGTACAGTAAAACTTACCTACCAGGTCCATTTGTTTTTCTTTTTTCTTTCCTCCCAGCCCTGGTATTTATTCCTACCCATTCACCCTGATGAACCACACGGGAAAGATTTAAGCCAATTAGTGTCTTTCCCATACATGTTTTCCTAACATGTATGTGCTGCCTCTGGAAGCCATTTTCCATAGCCCGTTGTAGGCACTTTGCTTGTATTGCACACATTCTGATTAGGTGGAGAGTAGCTGGACTAGTGATGCTTGCCATACAGTCAGCAGAAGCTCTGGGGCTGTAAAAGATGAAGAAGGTAGGTGTTTAATTTATTTGCTTTCTTCTGTGAGGATTTTGTTACTGAGTTTCATTCCATGCCAACTTTCCATGTACTCCTATCCTGCCAGTTCATGAAATGCCCTTGTAGAAGATTTAGTGATAGGAACAAGTCAAATCCATGCATATAAGATTTATCCTATCAGAACATCGGGGTGAAAACCTAGAAAGGGAATTGATGCGTTCCTGGAACTTACCTGGAACCACTCTTGGGAATCAGCAGCAGAGCCTGGGGAAACAGAGCAAGGAAAACACTGTCAGCCAATTCCTGTTTACTTACCGCCCCCACCACCACCCCACCTCCGCCCCCGCTGCCCCGCTGAGGCTCGAGTCTACACGATAGCATCAGGGAGACGAGAGACAAGCAAACTAGATCACTTAGGACCCAGGGACACCTCCGTGGGGGAATTCGGGGAGCTCTGGCATGGGCTGTCCAGGTGATCGTCTGGTCTCTCCTGTCTGCTGCCCTCCCAGTGCACAGATATTGCTAAAGTGGTTAGGTTTTATGTGTTTTGTTTTTCGCTTCCAATCATGAGAAATGGAGATGTGAAGAGGCATTTCTTTCACGTCATCATTTTGTGTGGTCTGTGAGAAGGCGGGTTCTGTGTTTTTGCTGGGCTTTGTCCTGCAGCGTTCAACTGCACATTATTCTGGTGGAAATCCACAATGTCTTTAAGCTTCTGGTTGTATAATTCTAGGGTTTAAAGTTGCCATATGTGGATTTGGCAACAGTTAATATTTAGCCAACTGGCTAAGAGATAGGAAAAGAATAAGATTTTCTTTCCTTATGTAATAATAAAAAGCAATAATTACAAATATGTAATATTACACAAAGGCCATAATTAGTCTCTTCCAGTGTTTAGAATGCACTCGAGAATCGTGGAGTCGTTTGGAGTATGTTTGGACCCATCAGTATGTACTGTAGTACCCTTCTGGCAAACAAATACCTGAATTGCTACTATTGAACAATTTTATGAGCCCATACTACTGCATTTCGGGAAGTGACAAATGTGTTCAGATGTGTTCAGAAATGGAAGCAGTTCTTTTTAAGCACTGTATCAGAGAGATTGTCATGTAAATTTACCTGTTACAAACAGGCTGGTTTGTAAAAGATGTATGTTTCGGTGTTAAAATGTTTATAAAATTGTATATAATGGTTTCAATTTTCCAGGCTTTTGTAGATATACTGTATTTGATGCCTATCAGGATTCTTTAATTTGGGGGGTTGAATATAATTCTAAGTCACCCATGCTGTTGGTCTGCAAACTATTGAGGTAACTGCGCGCACACACATAAAGCATTTTAGATTTGAAAATGATGTTTTTGAATCACTTCCAAATGTACTGTAGCCTTTCTTTGGTTTTACTGTTTTCATTTAACTTTCTCTGTTTCCAAGAAAATGTTCTTATTGACATTTTAAAAATCAAGTGTGTTTTGCCCAGTTACTAAGTACCTAATTTGTATGCCATCTCAGATTCAGAATGAAGTGCATCGTTTCTTCACACTCACATACACTCACCTCAACTTGCACACACATCACACACCAAACCTTATGCAAAGGGAAAGCGAACACTTAAAGTGGATCCTGCCCCTTATGGAAATGGATTGTTTCTGCATATAATGCTGTTGGCAGTGTTCAGTCTTGTGTTCTTTTTCTAAAAAATGAAAGAAAAACAAAAAAGATGACAAGTTCATGAAATGCCCTTGTAGAAGATTTAGTGATAGGAACAAGTCAAATCCATGCATATAAGATTTATCCTATCAGAACATCGGGGTGAAAACCTAGAAAGGGAATTGATGCGTTCCTGGAACTTACCTGGAACCACTCTTGGGAATCAGCAGCAGAGCCTGGGGAAACAGAGCAAGGAAAACACTGTCAGCCAATTCCTGTTTACTTACCGCCCCCACCACCACCCCACCTCCGCCCCCGCTGCCCCGCTGAGGCTCGAGTCTACACGATAGCATCAGGGAGACGAGAGACAAGCAAACTAGATCACTTAGGACCCAGGGACACCTCCGTGGGGGAATTCGGGGAGCTCTGGCATGGGCTGTCCAGGTGATCGTCTGGTCTCTCCTGTCTGCTGCCCTCCCAGTGCACAGATATTGCTAAAGTGGTTAGGTTTTATGTGTTTTGTTTTTCGCTTCCAATCATGAGAAATGGAGATGTGAAGAGGCATTTCTTTCACGTCATCATTTTGTGTGGTCTGTGAGAAGGCGGGTTCTGTGTTTTTGCTGGGCTTTGTCCTGCAGCGTTCAACTGCACATTATTCTGGTGGAAATCCACAATGTCTTTAAGCTTCTGGTTGTATAATTCTAGGGTTTAAAGTTGCCATATGTGGATTTGGCAACAGTTAATATTTAGCCAACTGGCTAAGAGATAGGAAAAGAATAAGATTTTCTTTCCTTATGTAATAATAAAAAGCAATAATTACAAATATGTAATATTACACAAAGGCCATAATTAGTCTCTTCCAGTGTTTAGAATGCACTCGAGAATCGTGGAGTCGTTTGGAGTGTGTTTGGACCCATCAGTATGTACTGTAGTACCCTTCTGGCAAACAAATACCTGAATTGCTACTATTGAACAATTTTATGAGCCCATACTACTGCATTTCGGGAAGTGACAAATGTGTTCAGATGTGTTCAGAAATGGAAGCAGTTCTTTTTAAGCACTGTATCAGAGAGATTGTCATGTAAATTTACCTGTTACAAACAGGCTGGTTTGTAAAAGATGTATGTTTCGGTGTTAAAATGTTTATAAAATTGTATATAATGGTTTCAATTTTCCAGGCTTTTGTAGATATACTGTATTTGATGCCTATCAGGATTCTTTAATTTGGGGGGTTGAATATAATTCTAAGTCACCCATGCTGTTGGTCTGCAAACTATTGAGGTAACTGCGCGCACACACATAAAGCATTTTAGATTTGAAAATGATGTTTTTGAATCACTTCCAAATGTACTGTAGCCTTTCTTTGGTTTTACTGTTTTCATTTAACTTTCTCTGTTTCCAAGAAAATGTTCTTATTGACATTTTAAAAATCAAGTGTGTTTTGCCCAGTTACTAAGTACCTAATTTGTATGCCATCTCAGATTCAGAATGAAGTGCATCGTTTCTTCACACTCACATACACTCACCTCAACTTGCACACACATCACACACCAAACCTTATGCAAAGGGAAAGCGAACACTTAAAGTGGATCCTGCCCCTTATGGAAATGGATTGTTTCTGCATATAATGCTGTTGGCAGTGTTCAGTCTTGTGTTCTTTTTCTAAAAAATGAAAGAAAAACAAAAAAGATGACAAAAAAAAAACCCCACAAAAACCGAACAGTGTACAGGTTTGTAACTGCCAAAATTTGATGGTTAAAACAAATTTTCAAGTAAAAAGAAAAAAAATGAAACTATCAATCGTGTTGACTTTTTTTAAGTGTTGCCTTTCATTTGTCTTCAGTTAATTGCTCACGTGGCAATTATATTTCTAGCGATAGTAGTTTTCTCAGAAACTTCTTTCTCCCATAAAGACTTCCATGGGCTCTGGTGCAAACCTACATTGAAATTTGATGTAGCTTCTTACTGGGCATCATTGCCTGTAGGGCTTTCTCCTGATGGGAATGAAAGCAGTGCTGGATCATTGAGCCGCATCTCTGCAGAAATCTTTTGTAAATGCGTCCCCATGCATTCTAGGCAGCTTTACCAGCAAGCCTCTTTCTAAATAAATAAGTAAATCCAAAAATTTGGGGCACAATTAGCACCTGAATTTTCCTCCAAAAAGCAGAGCTCTAGACAATTTTGTATACAGACTAAAAGTCAAAATATATACAAGAGAAGTTGAGGAGGAGTGTCAAATTGATCTGGAGAAATGACGTTACAGGATGCTAACTTGAGACCAGAAGGAACTCCAAAAGGGGAGGGACAGTCCCCACGCCGCCGCGGCGCGGGAGGGCCAGGCCTGCTGTGACAGCATCCCTGTCTGAGCAGCAGCGGCACAGAGGCGTCTCCCTGGACACTGAGAGGCCCCAGGACTGACCCTGCCCACACCGGCGGCCCAGCTCCACCGGCCCCTGCCTGCCCAGAACGCTGGAGCCCCAGCGCCACGCTCCCCTGGCTGGGCTTTCAGTCTCTCCTGACCGAGTGGGCAGAGCTAGGAGTGCTGCCATCCTCCGGTTACTTGTCCATCTGTTGCAGGAAGGGGGACCCCTTCCAAGGCCCGAAAGTGGGTCTCGTCTAACACTCGGAAATGAATTGTCCAAGGAGACACACATGCTGACGAAGCAAGAGGTTTTACTGGGAAAGGGCACCCGGGCAGAGAGCAGGAGGGTGAGGGAACCCGGGAGGACTGCTCTGCCACGTGGCTTGCAGTCTAGGGTACTATTACTAGTTTCTGGGTTGTATTTAGCCAATCATTCTGACTCAGAGTCTTTCCTGGTGGTACAGGCACCACTCAGCCAAGGTGGATGCCAGCAAGGATTCTGGGAGGTGGTTGGACGCGTGGTATCTCCTTCTGACCTTTCCTGAACACTTCTGTTTGGTGGTGATTTATTGGTTCTGTGTTCCTTACCAGAACCTCCTGTCCTAAAACAACTCCTGCAAATAGTTACTATGGTGCTGGCCAGGGTGGGCGGTTTCAGTCAATGTGCTTCCTCTAACATATCCATGCATTAGTAGGCAGATAAACAATCAGATAAAAGAGGGGGTGCACCAATTTGCCAGCTTTGCCTACTTCCATGGTATTGATGCCAAAAACTTAGCCTCTGGGCACTGGTGCTGAATCAGAGACACAGTTTTGGGTGAAGTGGAAAACAATAGCTTTATTGCTTTGCCAGGCAAAGAAGGTTGCAGAGGGCTTATGCCCTCCAAACTATGTCTGGGATTTGGTGAGGAGTTTTACAGCAATGGTTCAAGGATAGGCCTGCTGATAAGGATCAGTGTGTTCGGGGCCTGCCCTCCTTCAATCTGGTCTCAGGTGATCTGTTGATGAGCTTCTGTGATTCCCAAGTTATCAATCTGTGACCTTCTCTCTGGAATGAAGAGTGCTTCATCAAGTAGTTAGCATCTTCCATTCCTTGGGGGTTCTAGTCCTGCAGAAGAGCTCAGAGACAGTGTGTTCTTTCCTTCAGGTGGAACCAGGATCCTGCCCCAAGGCTACACAATTATTTCTTGGCTGCTACTCCTTTGTCTCTGCATCCCTTCCCTTGCCAGATTAATAACTGAAACTGCCCTTTGGAACTCAGGGAAGGCCATGGGGCTAAAATCTATTCCCTACAAACTAGGAGCCGGGGCCACAGAGATGGGCAGGGGACACACATGCCCAGGAGCCCCGCAGGGTTCTGCTCAGCTTCAATACAAACACTTGTGTCATGGCTGGCTTCAGACCACCCGGATAATGTGAACCAGCTCAAAAACTGCTGGCTCTGGAAACCCAGTCTGAGCCAATGTCAGTAGAGCCCTGGCTCCCCCACTGGATCAGAAGCTACCTGAAGGCAGAGTTGAGTCTTTACTGTCTTTATTTCCTGGGTTCCAGTACAATACTGGGCTTCCCAGATGGTGCTAGTGGTGAAGCAGCTGCCTGCCGATGCAGAAGACATAATAGACGAGGGTTCGACCCCTGGAGGAGGAAGTGGGACCCCACTGCAGTATTCTTGCCTGGAGAATCCCGTGGACAGAGGAGCCATGGGATCGCAAAGAGTCAGACATGACTGAAGCAACTTAGCACTCACGCACAGTGCAGTACTGACCCTCACTAGACATTCTTGATTGAGAAATTAATCAATGACATCTCCAACTAAATCCCCATGATCTTACAAACACTTCCTTATTTTGGTGAATTTAGTAACTGCAATAAGAAAGATGTCAAGAGAGGGAAGCACTGAGAATGCTCGAAGTCTCCTGCTCTTCAACCCAACAACACAGGTATATGCTCATGAATCGAGCGCCAAGAAAATATTCGTGTTCATGACTCTCCTGTGGCCACCCTTAGCAGAAAGAGAATGTGTTTGACTCTCCATCCTTACCTCCAAAATGGGAGGGCCATCCAGAGATGTCAATTAAGAAATAACATTGGTCTGGCTGGGGAAAGAGGAAAAGAAAGAGATTTTTTTTATGTCAGTCTCCATTCTCTGCTGTTGCTTTGAAATAATGGGACTGGTTCTTAGCTTGGAAACAGATCTCTGTGGAAAGGCCACTTTATTTGTCTGGATCAGGTGTGCCCAAAGCACACCTGAGTTCAATGATTCCCTAAGATAACTGGAGACTCAGCACAGAGTTCTACTCATGACTATAAAATAGTCAACCGGCGGAGAGCTCAACAGACATTCAACATCCAGGGTTTCACTGAAGGCTGGACTTGTCAGCACCTCTGCCCGGGGTGTACCAAAATCCCAGACTCCCAGAAGAAATGTAAGTGTTCAGCATAAATGATGCTAAAATGGTGGGAGCGCCCCCTTAAACTCACTTTTCCAAACACACGTCAAACGCTGATGTGAGCAGGGCTTTCAGAGGACAGCGTCAGGTCTGCGAGTCTCTGCACAGACCCTCTGAGGTTTCCATCAGATCGATGCCCTCCTGTTTGTCCAAAATCTTAGCAATTAGCAGCTTCTGTTTTCCTCTGGCCCCTCCGTGCGGCCTGCAGCTCTTCACACCTCGACCTGCCTTTCTCTGTGTGAACAGAAGATCCAAGCAAAACACT